GATCTTCGAAATGGAAACTTTGCAAAATACCGGAGCTGCCCGTCCGCCTAACGCGTTCAACAAAAGATATTCGAATCAAGAGACCAGTACGCCGGGGTATGATGATTTTGAATGCTTGCTGTCATTGCTGTGTATATTTGTTTCTTTTTCTAAATGATCAATATTTCAGGGAAAATGCACTGAAGAGATTGCTCGAGATCAAGGAGGATATCAGAATCGACGGTGTATATGGGTTTCGTCGCGTCACCGACTCGAAGGAAAGAATAGGATTCTTGCTTAACATGCATGCGGTAAGGAAAATTGAAGGAACAAAGGTACCTGCAATCTCTTAAACGCAATTAAGTAACAAGATCCTGATGTTTCTGCATAGACGGAGATCGTGGAGGATGACAAGCGTCTGTTGAGCGGCGTGGATTATTACTTTATTGAGGAAGATGCCACCAGATTTAAAGTGTCATTGCCATTTTCACCATACTTTTACGTTTTATGTCGTAAAGATACGTTTGAAGAAGTGTCGACATTTTTGTCCAAAAAGTACATGGGAATTTTGACAAAAATCGAGACCGTTTACAAGGAAGATCTTGACTTGGTAAGATAGGCTTCTAATCAGCATACAATTAGCTATTAATAATATATTTTACGTTACAAAAATGTTTGGAAAGATTATTTTTCCTTGTGACTTTTTATTTCTTCTTTTTTTTTTTTAATTGTTCCAGCCTAATCACTTGATTGGTTTGAGACAAAAATACCTGAAACTTTCCTTCGCGAATACTGTCGATTTAATAAAAGTCAAGCGCGACATTATGCGCGTTGTTAGAGTTAACAAAGAGCGAGAGAAAAGTAATACTTACTACACAGACATGCTGGCAACTACTTTGCAACCGAACGAACAGGATAGCGGTAGACAAACATTAGATCACATGGATAATATTCTTGACATTAGGTAATTGTATACATTTTCTTTTCAATTTTTTCTTTTTTCCTGTATTAATATTTATTTTCTTTACTATTTCTTGATTTCTTTAGCATTTTTTGCTTTATATGACACATATGTTGAAATATCAATTTTTAGGGAATATGACGTACCTCATCATGTCCGAGTATCCATAGACGCTAACATCTTCTGTGGAATTTGGTATTCTGTAAAAAGCAGAGGAAGCGAACCACCTATAATCACGCGAAAAGAAGACATGATTGAACTGCCTGAACCTATTGTATTAGCGTATGATATTGAAACTACAAAGCTGCCATTGAAGTTTCCAGATGCCAGTTTTGATCAGATTATGATGATATCATATATGATAGATGGACAGGTATTTTACATAAATAATGCTTACATTTAGCTTTACATAAATTATTTTTCGTTGTATCGCTTTCTAAAGAGAGTTTACATTCAATATGTTTCATTTTCTTAGGGATATTTAATAACGAATAGAGAATTAGTCTCTGCCGACATACGAGATTTCGAATATACGCCAAAACCGGAATTCGAGGGTCCTTTCACGGTATTCAACGAGCCTAATGAGAAAGCAGTTATAGTGAAATTTTTCGATCATATTAACGAAATAAGGCCGCATATATTTGTAACGTATAACGGTGATTTCTTTGACTGGCCGTTTGTTGAAGCTCGAGCAGCTATACATAATATGGATATGAAAGAGAAAATTGGTTTCTCTAAAAATCGCGAAGGTGTTTACGTCAGTAGAGCTGCTATGCACATGGATTGCTTATGGTAAATAGTCTGTGAGTTATTTAACAATGTAATCCTGCAAATATTCTCATCGCAAAATATTTCTTAGCTGGGTTAGACGTGATTCTTATCTACCAGTGGGTTCTCAAAACTTGAAAGCTGTTGCTAAAGCTAAGTTGAGATATGATCCAGTGGAACTTGATCCAGAAGAGATGTGCAGATTAGCATCGGAAGAACCTGAAGTACTCGCGAATTATTCTGTCTCTGATGCTGTGGCAACATTTTATCTCTATCACAAATATATTCATCCCTTCATATTTGCATTATGCACTATTATTCCCATGGAACCTGATGAAGTATGAAAAATATTGTATTACGCACATTAATTGATGTACATATACTTTTCTGTAAACAATAATCTACATTTTTATTTTATTTCATTTATTTCTAGGTACTCAGAAAGGGATCTGGTACACTGTGTGAATCACTTCTTATGGTACAAGCTTTCCAAGCTAATATTATATTTCCTAACAAACAAGAAACCGAACTAAATAAACTGACAAAGGATGGTCATTTACTGGATCAAGAAACGTATGTGGGTGGACACGTGGAAGCTTTAGAATCGGGTGTTTTTAGAGCTGACATTCCTTGTCGTTTTAAAATTGTTCCGAGCGCCGTAGACGAATTAATTAATGGTGTAGAAAATGCCTTGAAACACACGATACAAGAAGAAGAAAAAGTATCAATCGATATGGTTACGAATTTTAATGAAATTGTAGATGAAGTTAAGGGAAAATTGAAGGAACTTAAAGACCAACCTTTGAGATTAGAAAATCCCGTAATTTATCACTTAGACGTAGGCGCTATGTATCCCAATATAATTTTAACCAATAGATTGCAACCTTCTGCGATAGTAAATGAAATAGATTGCGCGGTATGCGATTATAACAAACCTGACGCTCTTTGCCAGAGAAAAATGAAATGGATGTGGAGAGGCGAATATTGTAAGTCTAAATATAAAATATTATCGCAAGTTATCTCTATATTATCAAGCTGGTTACTTTCTTCTCGACTTGTGCTGTAATTATCGTTTATGATTAACAAATTTTTAGTGGCTGCAAGTTTGGGTGAATATCAAAGAATAAAGCAACAACTAGAAACTGAAAGATTTCCACCACAATTTCCTGGTGGCTCTAAGAGAGCTTTTCACGAATTGACCACGAAAGAGCAAGCTACATTTCAAAAAAACAGGCTTACCGAGTATTGTAAAAAGGCTTACAAAAAGGTCAAAATTACCAGAATGGAAGAGAGAACGCAAACGATTTGTCAGAAGGAGAATTCATTTTACGTAGACACTGTGAGAGCGTTTAGAGATAGAAGATACGAATATAAAGCATTAACTAAGGTTGCTAAACGGCAAGTAGCAGCAGCAATCGCGAAAGGAGATGCAGCTGACATAAAATCCGCTAAGAATAGAGAAGTTTTGTACGATTCTCTTCAGCTTGCTCACAAATGTATTCTCAATTCTTTCTACGGCTACGTTATGAGAAAAGGGTAAGTTTTAAAATTATATTAAGTGATATTAAAGTACAACACTTTTATTATGTTTTTAGTATTTTTATTTATACCCTTCTTAAATTATTTTTTAAAGTCCTAGTTTTTTATTGTTTATTTTAAAATTACAGGGCACGATGGCACAGCATGGAAATGGGTGGCATCGTATGTTACACAGGTGCTCATATTATCATGAGAGCTAGAGAAATTATAGAACAGATTGGTCGCCCATTGGAACTGGATACTGATGGTATATGGTGCATATTACCTGCGTCTTTTCCAGACTCTATTATAGTTCACACTACTCATGAAAAGAAGTCGAAATTTACGATCTCGTATCCGAATGCGGTTCTCAATTTTATGGTGAAAGTATGTATGAATGAATAAAGAAAAACACATGTTTTCCTTTCTTTTGATTACTCTATTTTTTGAATTTCCACAGGATAAATTTACTAACGAGGTTTATCATGATCTTGTGGATAAAGATAATTTAACGTATGAAATCAGAAGTGAAAATTCGATATTTTTTGAAGTTGACGGACCATATTTAGCGATGGTATTACCCGCTGCTAAAGAAGAAGGAAAGAAATTGAAGAAACGATACGCAGTTTTTAATTTCGATGGTTCACTAGCCGAACTAAAAGGATTCGAAGTGAAAAGAAGGGGTGAATTGCAACTGATAAAAATTTTTCAAGCCTCTGTTTTTGAATCCTTCTTAAAAGGAAACACATTAGACGAATGTTACGCTTCGGTTGCGAAGGACGCAGATTATTGGCTGGATTTATTATATAGCAAGTGTGCGAATATGCCCGATTCCGAATTGTTCGAACTCATATCCGAGAACAAATCCATGTCGCGTAAATTGGAAGATTACGGTGCACAGAAGTCCACGTCCATTTCTACGGCTAAAAGATTAGCTGAATTCTTGGGCGACGAGATGGTTAAAGATGCAGGTTTAGCTTGCAGATATATTATAGCGAATAAACCGCAAAGCGCGCCAGTTACCGAGCGCGCGATACCGTTGGCTATCTTTCAGTCGGAACCGGCTGTGCGAAGACATTACTTGAAGAAGTGGTTGAAGGACCCCACTTTGTACAGCGATGATATAAGAGATATTTTGGACTGGAATTATTACATTGAGCGACTCGGGAGTGCTATTCAAAAAATTATCACCATACCAGCGGCGATGCAAGGCTTACCGAATCCAGTTCCACGAGTGCAGCATCCACCTTGGTTACATAAGAAAGTGTCAGAGAAGAATACATCTCATCGTCAGAAAAAGATCACAGATATATTTTCTGTTGTAGCTAAAGACACTTCTCATACGAACAACACCGAAGAACCCCGCGATATTGAAGATCTCGCAGGACCGTCTACTAGCTTCAATACTCCAATTTCGGTTGTTAACAAGAGGAAAAGGCAGCATTTAGATGAGGATGAGACAATCAGAGCCAGAAGTTGGAAAGAAGCTTTGGGTTCGCCTCCTCCCAAGGGAACAACGAGAAAAGAGTTGCTTAAATGGTTGGAGTTTCATAAGAAAAAGTGGGCTTTTCAGGCTAAACAGAGGCATCAGCATCGGCAGAAGAGGAGTAAGACCGACGAAAATGATAGAATCGCCTGGGGGGTTATACGAAATACGAATACGTCTACCATGACCGGCTTTTTGAGACGCGCTCAAAGGAAATTACTGGAAACTCCATGGCAAATCATTCAGCTGTCAGAAACGGGTGAACCCGGCATGTTTCGATTGTGGATATTGGTTGACACGCAATTGCATCAAGTGCGTCTCGTAGTACCTCGTATATTTTACGTGAACACCCGCAAAGCAAGGCCCGATCCAGGACCTAATGAGCTCTGGAAGAAGAGCTTCAAATCTTTACCACGCTCTCGGCCGGTGTACAACTTGTATCAATATTCTCTACCAGAATTTCTATTTCAAGAGCACAGCCGGGAACTCCTGGAGGACTTGAGTAAACCAGAAATTGAAGGAATCTATGAGACGCAAATGTCATTAGAATTTCGGGCTATATTGCAATTGGGATGCGTGTGTATAGTCGACCCGCGTGCCGCGCGGAAAATGGTAGACGGAGCCGATACCTTCACTCTGGATCAATTGGAATTCAAGAGCATCGCCTTTCAACCTTACCTCAAGCAAACCGGATCGATCAACTACATATTCCTCTATCATCATTGGAGTTCAAACCGTCAAAGAGCACTGTGGGGCTTATTCTTAAGCGCCAGCAAGAGAAGTCATATATTCGTCTTAGATTCAGTCGCTTCCAATCAACTGCCGAACATGAATACACTGTACACGCAGGAACGTAAAGCAACATTGGAGAAAAATGGCGAAGACAAGATAAATAGGTTGCCTAAAACTATGCAGTTCGTCGTGCAAGTTGAAACGAACTTCCAACAGGTGTGCCGTACATTGCAGGCAGCCTTGACGACATATAAAAACGAAGCCCACGGAGCAACGATTATTATTAATCAAACCGCTCTCGACAGGACGGTTTTAACTACCGAAATGCCGCTTCTCAATGACTTCCCTCTTGTCAGCACGCACGTGCGAGATGTTGAGAATCTGTACAGCACGTTAGAATGGCAGAAGACGGGCGCGAAAATGATGATCAGACACTACCTGAAGAGTCAACAGATAATCGAATTAATCGCGGAACAATGCCGATTCTTCCACGCTCCTATCGGCAACGTACCCGCGGATCCCACGCTCTTCGGCGCGGATTTATTCTACGCCAGACATTTGCACAGGAACAATTTTGTCCTGTGGTGCTCGCCTACGGAGAAACCCGACTTAGGCGGCAGCGAGAACGACGATAACAGGCTACTGACGGACTTCGAGGAGAGTTCGAGCTGCGCTGCGAACAATCCGGGCACATATTCCAGCGTTTGCGTCCAATTGGATGTAGAAAGTCTGGCGGTTAATGCATTGTTACAATACCATCATATTCACGATATAGACGGAACCAGCACGTTTGTGGCGTTTCACACTCAGCAGCGTCCATCCGTTCAGGTCAGTCTTTATATACTAACTAAAACTTGCTTAAAAAAAAAAATGCTTATGTTTAAATTAATTAACGATAGTACCTTTTAAAAACTTATTTGCAACAATTTAATTTATCCGAATTGATAATGTTATGACTACATAAGTTGGGATTATTCAACAGGACATGGCAGTGGGTGGTGATGCCGCGACAGTTATTCCCAGCTACGATGAAATCACTCTGTGCAATCCGGCGTTTAAAACATTACGAAGCATGGTAAACGCATGGTTGCTCGAGGTATCCGTTTATAAAAATGTATTCGCGGACTATCAGCTGATCCACTTCTATCGGTACGTTATTACTATTTGTTATACTGTTATCAATTATATTACTTAATTACATATTACTGTTATATAAAAATGCATGTACATATTCGTATGATTCCAGGTGGCTGAGGTCTCCAAGTGCCTTGCTTTACGATCCTGCTCTACGTCGTACTCTACACACTTATATGAAGAAGTTATATATACAGTTAATAGCAGAGTTCAAAACGTTGGGCTGTATTATAGTCTTTGCAAACTTCAACAAGATTATCGTGTGCACGAAGAAAAGATCTGTGAACGATGCTTTAGGCTATATAGAATTTGTTGTTCAAACTATACGAAACAAAGAGCTGTTTCACAGTATTGAAATTACGTTTGACCAATGTTGGGAATATATAATATGGCTTGACTTGGTACGCTAATTCATCATTCATTTGATTCATGAAATAACATTAATACTGTTTTGCGTAACGTTAATTTAATTATATATTTGCTTTATTGAACAGCACAATCATGCTGGCATTAAAGGACAGCTAACTAGAGATGATGCGGAAGATGAGAATACTGAAAATGATGACGATGACGCGGTAAAAAAAAAAAAGCATTTTTATAGATATTTTTAGAAATTACATTGATGGTTTTTGACGATATTTTTATACTGATTGAATTATTTCTACTCAGCCTCAAATAATGATGAATTGGAGTTTGATGGAATGCCTGCCTAAGGAAGCAGGATGTCAAGCGAGTTTTAACGCTGTAGTAGCAGGATATATAAACGTAGTGTATCAATGTATGATTGAGAACGAAGCCAATAACAGTGTAAGGCCGAGAAGAAGACACAGCCAAAGTCAATCTTTTATAGCACCACTTGGTCTAGGTGCATTGGAAAATACAGCCGAGTTTGCGAAAAAATTGATATCAGGAGAAATGTCTCAAAGATTGTTCAAGTATATTTATTTATACAAGTATTACGTAGTTTTTAAAATTAATATAAAGCTTTTATATAGAGTAAAATGAATTAAAAATTGATATTTTATCGATATGGGAGGTCAGTAGTTTTAATGGCCCTAACGTGTGTATTATTTGCAGAATAGTCCAAAAAATACATCGGAATTTGCCGGAAAAGACATTGACTCTCGAAGAATATCCTAATCTGGATATGGGTGGAAAAGAAAGTATAAAGATCAATCCTGCGCTTGAATTAATCAAAGCAGTATGCAAGGTAATATATTATCATTATGTGCTTTATAAATATGTAAAAAATAGTTTCGAAATATTAGACTCTTGCGTATCTTTGAAAATTTCAGGTTTTATCTCTGGACAAAGAAGTAGAACACGAGGTTCATGACTTAAAGTCAAATCTGTTACGACTGATCGGAGTCGGCAGCTATGGCGACAATGTCGAGTGGAAAGAGCCGTGTATTTCTCTTATTCTACCAGAAGTTATATGCAAAGCATGCAATCATACAAGAGATATTGATCTCTGTAAAGATCAATATTACACAATTGAAAATAGCAGGTACGTTAAATACGCGAATAATCTGAATATTAAGATGAAGATAATATATGCTTCATATATTATATGCTTTACATCATTATTATTATTATTATAGGCACATGTGGAAATGTCCTATCTGTGATACGTCGTATGACAATACAGAAATAGAATTTTCTTTGATTGACAAATTGAATCGCAAAAGTATGGGTTACGTGTTGCAAGATCTACAATGTCGGAAGTGTAAGGAAATCAAGCGAGAAAACATGAACATGTTATGTTCTTGTTCAGGCGATTACGATAATTTAATATCGCGGGACGAAGTCACAACATATGTAAATATATGTAAATCTATAGCCACCAAATGTAAAATGAATATTTTAGCAGAGATAGTAGACAACACGAAACTCTTTACGGGTTAGTAATTAAATTAAGAATTGCCTTCTCTTGTATGATAATTTATATCGAGATTTATTAAATTTTTTTAACTGTTTTGGATTAACGAGGTTGATAAAAAAAAGATTAAAATAATTTAATAGCATATATGTATTTTTAAGATGAATTACTTAATATTTAATAGTTCAACAATACATGAATGTTCTATGTCTATGATACATATCGACATATGTGTTTAATTTTTAACACCAGAGTCCACAGGTGGATCTAAAACAAAGTACAGCATACGTTAAATCGTTTTACCTATACACATGTATTTGCACGAATGCAAAATTTATAATAAACTTTTGAATATAAAAATAACAAATATCTGTCTAGAATACATAAGTAAAAGTAACGTACCTTCAAATTTGAACTGAGGAAATTGTGTCATATCTACTCCTGTACCGCCACCATATACCTCTTGAAGTTTTTCTAATTCGGAGTCCCGTTCTTTCGCAATCTCCGGGCTGGGATCAACTAATTTCCCGCCTCTTAAAATTGAAAAAAATTTCTCGTAAATATCATATCCAATATTCTCTATTTTAATCAATCTCCTGATATAATATATAATTACAAAAATAGAAGCACTAGTTATAGCACATATTTCATAAATCTAACTTATTAATTTCATCTGATTATTGATTTCATCGCTATCCAAAAAATACTCTTATCTTTAACTCTCTTCAAACTTTGTTTAACCAGAGACAAGCGTATCCGACAAAATGGAAGTTATTCCAATTAATACTGTTACCTTTATTAAACACAATAGTATCATAATTTGATGCAAATACAATTAATAAATATAAGTAAAGCAGCTTTTTCAGCTTTTCCCTCATTAAAAACTTAGATATATTCTTATTTCGTTTTAAGAATGAAAATAAAAATATTTATTAGTGTAATAAAATTTATGTAAGATAAGAGATGTATATCATAAACATGTATCTATGTATATACATGTTCAAATGTTCAAACTACACAAGTTACAATCAAAGATACCACTGATACCAAATGGTTTTGATCCTTACAAAGTAATATCCTTTGCAGATATTTCTCATTAGAATTCCAGAAATCTGGAGAAGTGTACTTACACGCTTTTTGACGTGTATTCCCGGAGTTTGTCGAGGAAGAGCTGCTGTATGGGATCGGTAGCTTTCTGCAAAGCAGGAACGTTGGTACTGATGCTACGTTTAACAGCTTTCGGCACACCAACGAGACGTGACCTCAGCATGGTTGCCTGAAAAAGAAATTTAAAAAAAATCAGGTACAATTTTGGGCGAGAATTCCAATTCTACGTCTTTTGTTGTCAACAAATAGCTTTTCTTTCTTGCAGGACAGGCATGAATTATCCAAGTAACCTCTCAATTATACATCAAGATAATCACGAATTCTAAATCATGAATTTTTTTTATATTGTGTTGAATTTTGTTAAGATAAATTAATCGCCTTTCAGACGTCTCTTACGTAATAAATGCAATAATATTTGTTGGCTAGACCGATTCGCGGAATAGGTTAAGACGAATCAAGCATACGTTCGTCCATTTATAAATGAATCGACGACAGTAGTAACAGTTAAAAAATATTACATGTTACGTGTGTAAATAAATAATTAATCTATTTACTCTTATGTTTAGCACCTATACCACGCACTACTCCGAATTATCTTCGCAAGACAATCACTGGAGGAAAAGAACCCAAAGTGACGTAAAGGAATCCCACGAACTTGGTATCAATAAAGACGCACCGCACAACGCACAACTCCGAATGAATTTTGTAATGAATAATGATTGACAGATGCAAAATATAAAAAAAATGTGAAGAATCAGGTAATGTAACAATAAGAAATAATAAATTTATTATCGCGGTGTACATAAAAACAAATTTTTATACAAGTGTGTATTTTTATTAGCTTCGTTTATTTTAATAATTTTTTTTTCTGTATTTTATTTCTTTCTTTCCGAATATTTGATATAAGTGCTAAAAGTAATTCTGCTAGTTGAATTAATTGCCGAATGCCGATCAAATTGATCCGAGCCAGTCGCCCTCGCGCGATCTGGATATTTTCTTCTGTTCCTTGTTCCTTCTTGCACGGGGGAAACTGTTGACAGCACTGCAGCCGGGCAAGATGGCGCGGGCAGGATTTCCGGCGGTGCCGGCGGTGGAGTCAGTCGATGCCGAGACGTCCTTGCTGTCGCGCTAAATCGATGTGTGCTGAATCCAACCGGGCATCAGGATGACGGACGCAGACGTGGTGGTGCTGGACGATCCCCAGACGGTCCAGAAGGAGCAGGAGGTGGCGGCGCACTTTCAAGCGCCAGCGATCCAGCACAATCCGGACGGCTGGGGCCCGTGCGAGCTGCCGGATCAATTTAAGGACATCCCTTACCAGCCATTTTCGAAGGGCGACAGATTGGGCAAGGTGAACGTCGTGGCGAGGCTCTCGCCTTTCCTTTACTCACGTTCTGAAAAAAAAAAAAAACGTGCTTATCTCTCACTTTATCGTTTTCTCCCGTAGATCTCGGATTGGACTACGCCGGCTTTCCAGGACAAGAAGTTCCCAAGTACGTATCTCGCTTCGTCGACCGTTCACGTGTGTTTAACCTCAAAGATCGAGAGACTCGGGCCACGGGGATTCCGCTGGGTATCTCGTTGTCATTTTCGCGTTACGTATGTTGCCTTTAATTGAGGACGACAGGCTTCAGTCTGTGTAAAGTCTGAGACTGAATCTGGAGCGAGGTTTAACAGGTGTACATGTCAAATGCTTGAGCTTTCTTTCTGTTTCGAATTCTGATTTATATATAATTATTTTATTATATTTTATATGGAAATGGATTTTTTAATATTATATTTGAAATACGTATGTGATTGAATAATGACATTTTGATATAATTTGTAATCTGGTCTTTTAAACTAATATTCAAAATGCTGTCGCAAATGGAATAGATTAATTGTCATTAGTCATATATTTTGGGTACTATATTTATCTTTGCTATTAAGTAATTACATCTGTTTTATTGGCATGTAATTTTTAGAACACTACATTTAAAAAATTATATTTTAAAAGAAAACTAGATATTTAAAGTACACAAACATTGTAAGATTTTTTAAAGCATATTTTCAGCATATTTTTTATATTACATGTGGAAAATTTAACTCATTGATACATTATAGTTACATGTATAACTAATAAATTGCTATTTTTCTAGACAAATATACATCGCAGTTTGGTTCAGGCAGTCAATATGCATACTATCACGACGAAGATGAAACCACCTTCCACTTGGTGGACACGACCCGCGTGCAGAAGCCTCCATATCAACGCGGCCGGTTCCGTCACAATCAGCGCAATATGCGCGGTCGCGGTGGCCAGCGTGGCGCGATGAGCCAGATGCAGCAGCTAGGAAAGCTCAAGTTGCGAGAACGAGAGCGTAAGGGACAAACGAAGCGCTGGGGTAGGCAGCAAGGTCTGCGTAATCACAAGAATCAGCCGCCTATCAAGATTCGAGACGCTTCCGTGACGGTTCGACCTGACTGGACGACGATCGAGGAAATGGACTTTCCTCGACTGGCCAAGCTTTCGTTACCCGGTGTGAAAGACGGCGAGGATATATTGTGCTGCGGCTCGCTCGAGTATTACGACAAGACGTATGATCGCGTGAACGTGAAGAGCGAGAAGCCGCTGCAGAGAATCGATCGCATTTTCCACACGGTCACGACCACCGACGATCCGATAATTCGAAAATTGTCCAAGACCGAGGGCAATGTATATGCCACTGACGCGATCTTGGCCACCATCATGTGTTGCACGCGCAGCAATTATTCGTGGGACATCGTGATTGAGAAGATTGGCGACAAGCTGTTCTTCGACAAACGTGACAACACCGAGTTCGATCTTTTGACCGTGAACGAGACCAGCGTCGAGCCGCCGCAGGATGACGGCAACTCGCTGAATTCGCCGAGAAACTTGGCCCTTGAGGCGACTTTCATCAATCACAATTTCTCGCAGCAGGTTCTCAAGTCAAATGAGCCACGATACAAGTTCGAGGAGGGCAATCCGTTTATCGGAGAGGAGGAAGAGAGCGATGTGGCCAGTGTGGCTTACCGTTATCGCAAGTGGGATCTCAACAATGGTATAGTACTTGTCGCCCGATGCGAGCATGACGCCGTGATGCAAGGCCCGAACAACGAGAATCAATTCCTGACGATCAAGGCATTGAACGAGTGGGACTCGAAACTGGCTAACGGAGTCGAGTGGCGTCAAAAGCTGGACACGCAGCGCGGTGCGGTTTTGGCGAACGAATTGCGCAATAACGCCTGTAAACTTGCCAAATGGACGGTTCAGGCGCTATTAGCCGGTTCGGATCAGCTGAAATTCGGCTACGTGTCGCGAGCTATTGTGCGAGACTCGAGCAAGCACGTGATTCTCGGTACACAGCAGTACAAACCGAATGAGTTTGCGACGCAGATAAATCTGAACATGGATAATGCGTGGGGCATTCTAAGATGCATCATCGACATTTGCATGAAGCAGAAGGATGGCAAGTACTTGATAATGAAGGATCCAAACAAGCCTATGATTCGATTGTACGATATTCCTGATAATACCTTCGAGAGCGAGGGCGAGGAAGATGAGGACGACGATGAGCCTGTTAATGACGCGTTTCAAAGTTAATAGCTAGGACATCTGATTACATCCATCGTTGATCGGTAATCATTGGCTGACGCTTTTACAATTTTTGTGGAGGAGTATTATAAAGGAAATAAATGAGATTTCAATACGATATTTGATTTTATGGAACTTCATTACTCGGATACACTTCTTGATGTAACTAATAGAAATTAAGATACTTAGGTTAATAGGTATACAAGAGAATTTAATTGAGGGACCTATGTTTCAAGATATAATTATTTGGTATTTACTCAAACTATTATATAACTTTATTATAATATACATAACAATACAATAAAAGAAAAATCTGAATTCTATTTCTTACAGCGGATTTTCATCAGTTTCATATATATCTTGTAACTTTATATTTTTATCAAATTTTTAAAGAAGTATGTATTGCTATTATTAACGTCAGTTTAGTCATTAAAAATACTTTATTTAAATATATATATGTTTCAGCATATATAGATAATATTTAATTAAGATAATATTTGATGCTACAATAATCTTAAACTTTCAATTTATTATTTTTAAAGAATTTCAGTCTTTACTTGGGGATCCAATTCCTTGATAACGTATCTTAATTTACGAATCGCAGCAGCTACCATCGTGTCATCGATATCATAATAGAGAACCATTCTGACCAATCTTTCCGTGAGAGCCAGGCATCTGATTATGATCTTATCATCATCATCATTGAAATCATTCACTTGATGGAGCCTCTTCATGAGAGTCTCGGCGGAAATGCCACTGTCGGTATTCACGTTTATGAATATCATATTGGTGTGCGTGGTTTTCAGGTCTACACTGAATATTTTGGTATCCAATTGATTGATTGCCTCCGCGATAACAAATGCTTTTCTGTGATCTTCTACTAGTCGTGGCACTGTCTGTTCCAGGGCGACGAGCCCGGCCGCAGCGATCACGCCGACCTGTCGCATAGCACCACCCAGCACCTTGCGCCTTCTCCTCGCGTTAGCGATAAAGCTCTTACTTCCGCAGAGCACAGACCCCACGGGAGCGCCCAATCCTTTGCTCAAGCAAAAAGTGACCGAGTCGAACGGAGCTGCTAGATCCTTCGCCGAGATCTTTGACGCGGCCGAGGCATTCCACAGTCGTGCCCCGTCCAAATGCATCCTAAGATTGTGCTTCTTCGCCACCATCGCCAACTCCTCGACCCATGACTGAGGAACGACTTTTCCGTTTATCGTATTCTCCACCATGACCAGCTTTGAGATCGGTTCGTGTATTCGGTCCACGCGAATCGCACTCTCGAGGCACTTCAGATCGAACGTACCGTCGTCGTTGTTAAACAGAGGACAAATGCTCACACCGGCTATTTGCGCTGCACCACCCTGTTCATGAAGAAACACATGCGACTCGTTTCCACAGTAGATTTCGCTGCCACGCACATCACAATGATTCATAACTGAAAAGGAAGGAAAGAAAGCATAACATTTTCTTTAAATGCGTTTGAAAAAAATCGAGAAAATCGATCTTCACTTTTCTAACGTGACACAGACTCCATTCAGAATCCCGATAAACAGAGGTCAATTTTTTTAATTACGGTATTAAGAGATCCTTCCCCGTAACTTTCATAATTCTATCATTAAATGAATGAAAATAAATTTCGTCCTTTTTAATGGATTTTAAAAGAAGATGCGAGACGTACTTATACCTACAGAGATCGTTTTTAGAATCTTACCAGCGATCAAGTTTCCCATTGTACCAGAGCTAACAAAAAGTGCATCTTCCTTTCCAAGCAAAGTCGCAGCCATTTTTTGTAATTCTAAAAATATTAAATAAATAATTGCTCAGGCCTCAGCTAATAAATATAGGAGGGGATTGTTAAAATTTCGTACTCTAAGTAGGACAAATTATCCAACAAGTCGTGATTTGGCAGAAAGATCATTTTTATAAGAAAATAAAATTGATTTTGAGAGAAAAACAGTTTTAGATGTGAGTAGCATAAATATTTCACAATGTTTTCGGTTTAAAATCGAATTTTTCTTTTGCTACCTTTTACCGTAGGATCTTCCTCGAAGACGTCATCCCCTACTTCCGCCTCAAACATAGCTTTCCTCATCGCCGCTATTGGCTTCGTGAGCGTGTCGCTTCGTAGATCGACGATAATAGCCTAGAGTAATCAAACTCACTTAACTCATTTAGAGCAATCCCCGTGTAACGCAACTCGAATTTCATTTAAACTCCGTTAATTAAACTGTTCCGTCTCCAAAAATATTTTTGTCTCAAAAAAATAAAAAACATACGCAGATTCTTTTTAGGCGCACACCCTGTACTGATTATCCCCAGTATTAAAGCGACAAACATAACATCCCTCTAAAAGACGTAAGTGAATTCTCATCGTTGTTTAATTTTACTACGATTGATGCTAGGATCGAATAGACTCGGAAGGAGCGAAACCATTTCTTCTTTACTTACATTATTTTCCTTCGCATAATCGCGAATGCCCGGGTTTATTGCGCCATAAGACATCTGGCTGGCCGTGAATGACGTGTCCTGACTGACTACTGACTGACAACTGACATTGAATTGTGCTTCAGCGGCTTCTGTAAGAGGCGTTTATATAATTGATTTATTCGCGCTTATCTTTTATCTAGACACATGCTTTGTCACAATCGGAATGGTTTGTAATCGGAATAGTTAAAATTTATATCCACGTGCGTGGAAAGTGGCCCATTACGCGCGTGTTTTTTGTGCGATAAATAGCCACGTCCACTCGAAACAGTGCGGTAATATCTCATTCCCGCACAGTCTCTTGCGGGCCACTTTCCACACACGTGTGATATAAAATAGTGTGTAACACGTGCGGGTAATCTCACTCGCCTTCGGCTCGTGCGTCCGCTCCGCACTCCACGAAAAAAAAATTTTCGTTATTGATCAAGTCCTCATCAGCAATGTATCCTTCAGCAACTGTATTGGATTTCCAGTCTGCTAGCAGCGTGGCAGAGAGGCGACCAGTGCGACGAAAGGTGTGGCCAGTATAAGATTGAGGATTTGCTAATTGTAGATATGATGCGATAATTGTTGGAATCTTTCCGAATTTGTTGATTCCAACTGGTTGGTTGGTGCACTTTCCATTTTGATAATTTAGAAAAAATCTTGAGGTTTGGGCGTTTTTTGGTCTCAAATTTATATATTTTTTAGATATAGTGTAGAATTCATCGGTGATTATGAAAGTTCTCGGTTTGTAATTTTTTGTAGTTGGAATTTTAACGAGCAAGATAGTTTCTTTGTCTTCGATGTCATTAATTGTTATATTGGTGAGTTCCACTCTTCTGCATGCACCACAAATTCCAAATATCATAGCAACCTGTAAATAATTTAGTATATATGTACACATTGTATAAAATTTTTTATTAATGTAAAAGTTTATGTTTGTATTTGATACATTACCTTGTAAAATAAATATTTTTGGTCATCAGCTTTGTTGAGAAATTTTTGAATTTGTTCTGATGTTAATACTTTTGATTTTTTTGGTATATATCCTTTTGACTGTTTCTTCAGGAATGGAATGAGTCTACCATATTCAGTAATATTAATATTGTTGTTAATATTCAGAGTCGTTTTGAGCATTGAGTAAGTTGCCCATAAGGTGGATGGTTTATGTGTTTTTGATAATTCTGTGAGATATGTTAATATTGTGTTTTCCGATAATGGTTTCGTTTCTTTAGTAATTGTCCACTGCATAAACTTGTTATATGTATTTGTATATTTTTCTTTGGATTTTGTAGGTAAGACATTTTCTATCCTGTTTTTTGCCCTTTGTGCTATCTCGGGAGGTGTTGGTTGGTCGTCGCTATCGGTTTCTGATATGTTGTCTGGTATGATGATGCTTTCGTCACTCATTTTTTATTTTTTCTTCTTAGTAACTTGTTGCGAATTCTTTTTTATTTTTGTTAACTTTACTGTGTATGTTCACAATGACTTTATTTGTATGTTCAGTTATTTGAGAAGGTTATGTTGAGTATCGCTGATCTGCGCTGATCGCTGTGGTACTGTGGTAATTCGCGGGGTGTTTCCGCGCGCCGCGAGATGTCGTTAAGAAGATGTGAGAAAACTGAGAAATAAAAGAACTAGTGAAGGAAAAGCCCCTTGCACAATGCAATGCCAGGCAACAGGCAAATAGGAACAGGAAATATTGAGATATTACCGCACTCTTTTGAGTGGAAAATTTCTCGTGTGTGGACGTGGCTATTTGTCGCACAAAAAACACGCGCGTAATAGGCCACTTTCCACGCACGTGTGATATAAAAAAACTTTAAGCTATAATTACTTGCATGTTTATTTACATTTTTACAGTGTCTTTAAATATTAATGGAGTAATAGAAGAAAAATTGAAAAGAAGAATACAAAGGCACAGTTATGTTTTGTGTATGAGAAAAGTAAAAGGAATAATGTCAAGAATCCAGTCTTTATTCTAAAGTTTGCGACTTCGATTTGGACTAACAGCTGACTTATTCTAAAATCTCAAGATAAATATTTTATGCTCGCTATATTAATAAAAAATAAATATTAAAATATATGGTTAATAATATACATGTTTTGGCACGAAGATTGCACATTTGTACTTGGACACGTGGAATTTTACAGCACTAGGTGTAAATATAACACTCAATACACCAATGCCGATTATTCAAGGTAATTGGAACGATAAGAATGCTGCAGCGATACGTTATCTTTCTGCAGTTGGCATGCAAGCAAAATACTTAAGATAACATAGATTGCGAAGTAACGTTAGGTAGTATGCTCACGTGAATTTTTAGATTAAAGCGCACAAGATTACTTTTATAGGTCAGTTTAACATTACGTAATTTCCCAGCAAACACCAATTAACAGTAATTAATATCAATTATCAAATTATATCAATATTTTATTTTTCTACTCAACAATATGTATAAGTGTTATGTGCAACACATATATGTATGTGTTATTACATATATTACACTTAATTTGAGCCAATAGATAAGATTAGAATTCGTCGAAACAAAATTTTCGTCTCGATTTTTGCAGTTCTAATTATCGGTCACGATGCACGAATATCTAGACGCGACGCGGCCGACCGGAAACGCCGAGTGATCCCGGAAGTGACGTGGCGTCGATGAGCGTGCGTTCAAAACCTGCCGTTACCTATATATATTTTCGAACGTGACCGGTGTCAGCGCCACATGTCAACATGGGTGCGTTCAGCCGATACTCCGCTAGCCTAGCAATCGTGAAGCAGTCGCTCTTTTCGCTCGTTTCTTCTCCTTTGACTCAATGGATTAAAAGGAGAGGAAACGAGCGACTGCTCACGATAGTCACGATTGCTAGACTAGCGGAGTATCGGCTGAACGCACCCGTTAACCGGCATTGTCCGTCTTGCGCGCGCGAGGAGAGGAGCCGCTTCCCATTGTTTTCACGGCGATCCGAGGTTGACATTCGCAGAACGCAGCAGAACGTGCGCGGACCTGTTCGGACGTGTTTTGTCCGGCAGGAAAAATTTTTGTAAGTATTGCGACTGTTACTGTCTGCAGTAGTTTCCACTCAGATTTTTGGTATTTCCATTCAGACTTCGCTACGCTAACAGTGTTCCAGACTTTGTATAATAAACAGTGGCAAATACTGGCCGTATTGTCCTCTGAAAAGAGGCAGGAGCCAACGAAATAGAAGAAGAAGAAGAAGATCCGAGGTTGACGGGCGTTTCGGCGAGATGAACGACGATCTGCCATATCTGGTGGAGTACGCGAAGAGCGGCCGGTCCAAGTGTCGCTTATGCAAAAAGTTCATCTGCAAGGCTAGCCTGAGGCTTGCCGAGATCGTTCAGGTACAACGTCGAATTTTGCGACGGAGAAGCTGCATGGTATCTGAAATATTTATCCTCGCGACTGACGGCGAGCTACAGTTTACGATACGAGGACGCGATTGCACACGGGCCGGTGTCATCGGCGTTATCATTGATCCTGGGTCATGATAACGCGCGTGATGGTGTCGGTCCGGATAACTGCGTCACCTGCGCAATGCTATCGCTATCACAACACACGTTGAATTATTCAAACATTTGCATATGCAGTTGCTTTCTCTCTGCAACTGTTTCCTTATTTGGCTCAGGTTATAAAAAAAACATATAAACATGTTTCTCGTTATGTTACCTGGAAAGCTTAATGAAATGTTCCTTTCCTTACAATGCAACATTCATGTATTTTCGTCCATTATTACTCGTTTTAGACAACAATCTAAATAAATGTACTTATAATTATACAAGTCACGCTTTGTATCAAGAGATATTCCGACTTTTTAAACTGTACTTCCAAAATATTAGAAATATTGTTTATATTTTTAGAGCCCCGTTCATGACGGGAAGATACTTAACTGGTATCACACCAACTGCTTCTTCTCAAAACAAAGACCAAAGTCTACCAGTGACATAGCTTGTTTCGATGAGATTCGTAACGAAGACCAAGATATTATTCGGCAGAACCTCGGTTTGTATACGACTTGAACAGGAACTATAATTTTAATTAATATATTTTGTTACCTCAGCTACTTCTGATGTTTTTTATACCCCGAGAAATCTCTTAACGCACCTCCTGCAGCAAAGGGGAGGAAAAGGACAAAAGGTGCTGGCGGTTCTGGAGACTTGGCCGACATACCACCGCCCCCTAAAAAGATTAAGGACGAACCAGAAGACGCAGAGGAGGAAAACTTGATGAAAAAGCAAAATGAAAAATTATACGCTATAAAGGATCAAATATCAACACTTGATAAAAAAGACATGATTGCGATATTGGAACTAAATAATCAGGAGATTCCAACTGGGCCATCAAACGTAAGTGCTTTATTATATATATATATTTGTATCGTGACATCTAATATATATTTTTCTTCAAATTGTGCATCATAAATCTGTTCATTATATGACAGGCTGATTTATTATATCACTTTATTCGGATTTTATTTCTAGATACTAAGTCTTTTATCTGATATACTGTATTTTGGAGCTCTACAACCCTGTTTAAAATGTGGAGGACAATTTATATACAACTCTGGTTTGGGTTATAAATGCACTGGTAATGCAACAGAATGGACTAAATGCGAATATGTTACGCAAGATCCGAATAGAAAAAATTGCGAAATACCAAGTGATTTGAAGGATGATTTCCCAGTTAGGTAAGTTCTCTCGTTAGACAATGTGAAACTTAAACGAATTAATTCTACACATTTCTTTGTTTCAACATTGATAAATATGATATAAATATAATTTATCAATACTCGTCATTTGTTCTTAGGTCATACAAGTCTAAGGTACAAAAACGAGTGTTTAAACTAACAGTGCCGTCATCGTCGAGTTCTATTAAGAAGGAGGGAGATGAAACAGATGGTCCGAAAGTACAAGAAAAACCACGTCCTTTGAAGAACATGCAGTTTGTTATAATAGGTCGTACACAGAAAGATAAAGAAGAATTGGAAAAAGAAATTCAATTATTAGGTGGTACTGTTGTAACAAAAGTCCATCCAGAATTAGCTGCTGTAATTTCGAACGAAAATGAAGTGAAAAAGATGACTAAAAGAATGGAGGATGTTAAATCGCACGACATTCAAGTAATAACGGAAGATTTTATAGAAGAAGCGAAAGAGTACACAGATGCTCCCATCATGCTCCTAAAAAAGAAAACCATTTCTAGCTGGGGTGGCGACATTGCTGCTAGACTTGGTAACGTCATCGCAAAATCTACTGCCTTCAAGAGTAAGAACAGGTTTGAGAAGTCGAGTTCTGGTAAAGTGAAGGTGAAGGTAAAAGGCGGTGGAGTTGTTGACCCCCATAGCGGTTTAGAAAATTATGCGCACGTTTATCAAAGGGGCAAAGACAAATACACCGTGACGTTGGGTCAAACGGACATCCAGTCGAATAAAAACAGTTACTACAAGTTGCAAATTCTGAAACACGACAATCAAGAGATTTATCACTTGTTTAGAAGTTGGGGCCGGATCGGCACCACAATTGGCGGTAAAAAGTTGAAGGGAATGTCTTTGGAAAAGTGTATAGAACAGTTTGAAAAGTTATACGAGGAAAAGACGGGCAATCAGTGGAAAAATAGAGATAATTTTGTTAAGATGCCGAAATTTAAGTATCCAATTGACATAGATCATGGAGATCTAGATTCGGACATTGAGAGCAATTTGCCCAAACCGCTTCAAGATCTAATGCGGCTTATTTTCGACGTAGCCGAGATGAAGAAAGTTCTCCTGGAGTTCGAGATAGACATGGACAAGATGCCGCTCGGGAAATTGTCCGAGAAACAAATTGAGAAAGCTTATGCCGTTCTAATGGAATTGCAAGAGATACTGAAGAAGGCTAATATAGACCGCACTGTATTGATCGATGCTTCCAACAGATTCTACACACTCATACCGCACAACTTTGGGACTTCCGGACCGAAAATTCTCGAAACGTCGGAAGACATTCAGAAAAAATGCGACATGCTGCTCTACATGGAGCGCATGGATGCGCTGCTCGAGATTAAGAAATCGTACGAACTTTCGTATGACAAGACCGATGAGAAGGAGAATCCGCTCGACGGTTATTACAAGCGGTTGAAGACGGACATCGACGTGTTGGACAAGACCAGCGAAGAGTTCAAGATGATCGAGAAATACGTCCAGAATACTCACGCGGCTACTCATACGCAGTACGCTCTCGAGATCGAGGATGTGTTCGTCGTCAAGAGACAGGGCGAAGAACAAAGATTCAAGCCCTTCGAGAAATTGCCCAACAGAAAGCTGCTCTGGCACGGATCCAGAACTACGAATTACGCGGGAATACTGTCCCAGGGTTTGCGTATCGCGCCGCCGGAAGCGCCCGTTACCGGTTACATGTTCGGCAAGGGTATATATTTCACCGATATGGTGTCGAAGTCCGCGAATTACTGCTGTACCAACAGCAACAGTCCAACCGGTTTGTTGCTGCTTTGCGAGGTCGCCCTGGGTAATATGTACGAGAGGTATCACGCGGACTACATCGAGAAGCTACCGAAAGAGAAGCACTCGACGCTCGGTCGTGGTCAGACGCAACCCGATCCGCAAACTGTCTACAAAACCGAGGATGACGTTGAAGTGCCCTATGGAAAGGGAGTACCTGCCAATATTAACAAAAATTCGGCATTGTTATACAATGAATACGTTGTATATGATGTTGGTCAGATAAAAATAAGATACATGTTAAGGATGAATTTCAAATTCAAATATTAAGATACGTAACACGAAGGTGTGACGTTCAGGTTTAAGGTACAGTTAAGATTTTTAATTTTGTAAGATTATACAAATTTCATTTATACTATTATTAATTAAAGATGTTACTATATAAATTCCAGTGAAGATTTCGCTATTGTTACAAATATTAAACTTCATGGAGCTGTTTTACTTTCAATGATAATCTTTTGAATTATACGTGTTTTGTTGTGTATGCAATTTTACATTGACCTGGAGATAACCACGTTATTATCTTGCATGAATGATCACCTGGAATGTTTTTTACCTCAATTAGAAGTCACTGTTAATAATTATTGAACATTGTTAATTGCTCTATTTATTAGTACTAAATCATTTATGTATATGTATAGATCTATTCGATTTTATTTAAAAAAATATATAAGGAATTTTCGATCAATAAAGGAATCTGCAGTGACTGAGCTCATTTTCTCGTTGCTAGGAGTTGTAAAAATCATCTCAAAATTAAACGTATATTTCCTTATATCATCCTTCGCATTGATGGTTATTAAGTTGTCAAATAGATTCTAAACAATTCGATAAGATTTAACAATAACTATAAAAGATAATTTGGAGGATAATTTTTTTTACAATAAATATATGTTACAATAAATTGTTTGTACTATCCATTTTGTCTCGTATCAACCAACAACCGATATTTCCTAATAAATAAAATCATGATTTTTCTATTTTGTATGTAAAAATATCAACATAAAGTTATCGAATAGATCGATAACGGTGAATTTGAATAAATCCCAAATAAAATTATTAATTCTTCGTTTGAAATATATGAAAGAAAAGATTAGAGATTTGTATGGCAAACTCTACAGCTATTATCAACGTTATCTCTTGAATTAATCGCCGATCAAGTTTAATCAAAGTTTGGTCGAAGTCGCTCAAAGTTTTAATAAATCGAAAACATTTCTATGACGTCTGATTAACTTTTTCTCGCTTCAACTTACTTTTTACTTTTTCTCAATTCTCAGAACTAGAAAAAGATAAAAAGTAAGTTAAATCGAGATTAAAGTTTATCTACATTGATAGAAATGTATAAAGAAAAAAAGGAAAAGTTTCGCGGACAATCGATTTATTCCAACTCGAATCGAACTCGACGAGTCGAACCTGATTCGACCTGATTCGCCTCGCGAATGTGCGCATGTCCCTAGTACCCTAGTGAAGTCGTTCGAAAGCGGGAGAACGACGCGGATTGGCGCGAGCAGGCGCGAGCGGGACGGTCAGGAAAGGTAGTGGGGGGTGAGAGCCGAATGTGGCGCGGTGCCGCGGGCGGTCACGCTCGACGACATCGGGATCGGGCGGCAGTTGATCGGCGCGGTCGAGGCGTGTGTCGAGGAGCGATCAGGAGCGAGTGAGCGGGATAAGGAGAGAGCAATTCTCTGCGAGAGAGAGAAGGAACGCGAACGCTCGCGAAGCCCGCGTAATTCGGCCGCGACTCCGACTCCGACTCCGTCACATGTGCGGTCTCTCGTCGCCGGCGCGACAGCATTTTCGAAAGCGCGGAGGGCGAGTCTGGTCTGGCCCGTCGTCGCGCCGCGGCAGCGGTGGTGGTAGTGGCGACAGAGGTGGTGGTGGTGGTGGTGTAACAGTGGTAGTGGCTGTGGTGTTGGTGCCGCCGTCGCGCACTCGGCAGTCTCGGCACTCGTCGTTGATCGCGCATCGTGGCGACAGCTAGTAGCGGCAGCCGTCGTCGCACGTCGCCGTCGCCGTCGCCGTCGCCGTCCCCGTCCCCGTCGTCGTTGGGCTCGGTCAGGGTCGGCCCCGAGGCTCGACTACGAGTCGCGTACGCGAGAGTATACGATACGCAGTGCTGCGCGGGTAGTCTCGCGGGCATCGCGCGCGCGCGTTCGAGAAACGAAGTAATAACGGGTAACGGTGAGCGCGCCCGCGCGCGCGCACGGGACGAGAGAAAGTATACGCAGTCGGGACTCGGGACGCGCAAGGGGCAGGTCCGCGGCAGCAGCAGCAAGCAGCAGCGGCGGCAGCGAGCAGCAACAGCAATAGCAGCAACATCATCAGCAGCAGCAGCGGCAGCAGCAGCTTTGCTCGCGTCGTGTTGCGCGCTCGCTAAACAAAGATGGCGGACGTGGACTCGAGGGTAGACCGGTCCGATCCGGAGCTGCGTATCTTGTCGGTGGACAGGAACAGCTTCAACGACCCGGCTACCCAGGCGGAATGGACGCAGAAGAAGCTGGTGTGGGTGCCGCACGAGACGCAGGGCTTCGTCGCCGCCGGCATCAAGGGCGAGCGCGGCGACGAGGTCGAGGTGGAGATCGCGGAGACCGGCAAGCGCGTGCTCGTCGCCAAGGACGACATACAGAAGATGAATCCGCCCAAGTTCGACAAGGTCGAGGACATGGCGGAGCTTACCTGTCTCAACGAGGCCTCCGTTCTGCACAACCTCAAGGACCGATACTACTCCGGACTGATTTACGTGAGTAAATCCTCTCTCTTTCTCTCTTTTGCCTCACCCTTATTCTTCTTATTTCTGGCATCGCGCCTGCCTGCCTGCCTCTGCCTGCCCTCGCTTCCTCGATGTGCGATTAAGCGCAAGTCTCTTTCTCGTTCGGCGTTTCAGGCGGTATTTAAATCTCGCCTTTCTTTCTCTCTCTCTCTCTCTTTCTTTCTCTCTCGCCGGAGCGCCCGGAGCCCCGACGACCTTACGCTCGCCGCTAACCCAATTTTCCTTCTCGGTGCTGCGGATTGATTTCGCCCACCCGGGTCCCGGGTCTCGCGTTCCGAGAAGTCCGAGCTCGTCGAGAGACTCGAGTGACACGAAACTCGGCAACTCGAGCGTGAAACTGGAGGCGTGCGCCACGAGAGATTCTAGATAAAGCGTAAAAATTACAGTTCGCGGCTTATCGTAAACCTCGAAGAAATAATTCGAGAATTTGTTTTGCCGTTCTTTTCGCGAGGAAGGGAGCGCGAGAGAGAGAGAGAGAGAGAGAGAGAGAGAGAGAGAGACGCGGGAAGATAAATTTCGCTTTTAACGGCTCGACATGCCATTCTGAAACGTTTCTAGAACGAACGACCCGGTATTTGCTCGCTGCGAATGATTCGGCGCTTCTCTTTCGCTCTTTTCTTCTTTCACGATGTTAAGAATTGATGTTCGGGGCGGACGGTCTCGTGGAAAGCCGCCGCGCCGCGCCGCGCCGCGGTGCAGGTGCAAGAGTGCCAGATGCGTGCCGGCCCTTCCACGCGGCCCCTAGGGCCGGTTCCTCCCAATGTCGGTTAACTCTGACCTCCGGTTTAAAATGCGTTCCTTCGGCAGAACCAGAATCCGGGGAAAAATCTCTAAATTTAAATCGAACCACACGATTGGAGCCAACCGACGTTTGCAAAATGAAATGATTGTTTTTAAACATCTCTCGAGGTTCGTATCTATACAATTAGAATTATAATTCTGAGAGGAGCACGAGTTCCATCCTATTTCAAAGTTTCATATTCTGCTTCGAATTTGTAGTACAGATAGATGAGAAAATTTGGAAAAATTTCAGGAGCAACGATTGTTTGGAGAGGAAAGAAAAAGGAGTTAGAGCGCCGATATCTACTCTAGCGTGGCCGACTCCGAAATTTCCCTAGCGAGGAAATCTTCCTTCTCTTCGGGAACGCCTGGAAATTCCTTCTCTTCGGGACGTTGCGGAATTAATATGTTTGTCGTAGCGCCGGTGACTCACCGCGCTATACGTCCGCGAGCCTCGGCTTCGAAATTCACGTTGGCATTATTAATTCGGCGGCCGCGTGCGCGTCGCCGTGAAGATTCATCCCTCCGCAAAATTATGTGGAATTCACGACGACGACGGCGTACTCGGACGACAGCTTCAAAATATTTACGGAGCGGCGCGCCGCGGAAACGCGCGATACAAAAACGACGGTATTCCTCGTTGTGGCAAGCTCGAGGCAGACGTCGTCGCTCTGGAAAAACACAGTTTGTGTATTTCGAGTTATATATGGCCTTTCGTTACTTTTTTGCGTTAACCAGAGATGAACGGGATAAGTAAATCAATAGCGCGAAAGTGGAACGCTATGTCGCGCCTGCCCGTCGTCTCGGGAGTGGAAGAGAGGAAATTTCCATGCTGAAACATTCGTTTCTCTATATCTCCAGAGAGAGACATTGTTTCCTCTAATACCAGATTACTGAAATTAATAATGATTATCCCGTATAATGCCTCTTTTGTGAGTGCAGGCCACATTGCGATATCGCGATATTGATTGTCACAATCTCGAGATAAGATATTTGAATATTCGGTGGGGATAGACAAATTTATTTTAACATATTGATTATTTTCATCCCAAGATATTTAATCGCGAATGATCGACGACAAAGCGGATTAGCAATAATCAGAATTCCGAAGAAAATATCGATACCGACTCCTGTATTTTTGTTAAGCAATAATCGATTAAGTAAGATCGGCCACGAGTCTCTCTACCGTAAAATGTATGCGCGTGTTTCAGACAGCGCCGTGTATCTTAATGCGTTTGAAATTTTCTTGGATCATTTATCCTCCCCGTTTACCCGATCGGGAAAATATATTCGTCGTCGCGCGATCGCGCGCGATGTTGAAACGAGTATTGATGGCGGCCGCGGAGAATTTATTGAAAGGAAAATCCGGCGTCGTTCATATTCTCGCGTATTGCATTTCTGTCGATTAACGACTCGGTCTGACTGGCCGTCGGGCACGGTTTTGAAAAATAGCCGGTCTCGCGTCGTCGAGAAATCGGTCGCTGTCTTATTCCGACCGACGCGGCGCGGCGAGAGACCGGTACGACTCTCTTTCGCTCGTAAGACGGACTAAAGATAGCTCTCGGTTCAGTACGGCTCTTGCTCGTCCTCGTCTGGAATTAATCCGCGCGCGAGATATATCGGAAATGTCGGGAGACCGACGGTGAGACGGGCACGGAAAGAGAGGAGGCGTAAAGGAGAGAGGGAGTCCGAGAGAAAAAATGCGCGCGACGCGAATGAATTCGATCGGGAAAAGGCGACCGGTGGCGGCAATTTAAATACCTATTTGCGTTTTTAATAGCAAATTTAATTGTCAAATTAGAGTTTCCAAACATTTTTTTCGCGTCTTTAATTACTATATATATATAGCAATTAATATATAATATAATATTAATTTTCTATGTCAATTTCTATCTAAATGTAACATAACAATTTTTTAATTACCCTAAGTATATATTTTCAATTATCGTATACATTTTCTAAATATATTATTAGAGCATAAAGTCAAAGTTATTGCTGCACCGCGAACGCATCTTGAGAACGTATCGTATTTCGCGATGTCGATATCGGATTTCATTGAGGAAAAACTTGCATAAAAGTACGCGGGTTGTGATGCAAAGTGCGAGATAAGGTAACGAACTATCACGGTATAAAAATATATACCGTGAAGAAAGTTGTTTTGCAAGAGATAATTGCGGTGTGTGGGAAGTAAAAACGCTCGTCTCACATACCTGCGCCGGCAGGTCTTGAG